TCAATGACTTCGTTTTGATCAATACCTGGGTGAATTAGTTTATGTGTGCATCTTTAATCAGATACCCTGTCTTTCGTCAAAACGAGATCTGTTGACGAAACGACTCAATCTCTCTTTAATATGGCTCAAATACAGCAATGGCTGGAGTCCTTTGCAAACAACCTTGTCTTTCAGGAAATCTATTTGTTTTTGATTTGGTGACCTATTGATGCATAATACGGATTTATATCCTAGTTAATAATGAAACAAGGAAAACACAGTTTCCTTTTGACAATACTAACGCAAAATGAAATAGAATACCTCAAATACAATGATAGTCATGTTACTTAGGGCTGTAGCAACAAAACCATTTGCAATTAAGTATGGAACACAATGAAAAACCTTTTATTGCAAAATTAGGCTATTTTTTACTTCTAGGGGAGTGCTGATGACAAGTATTCGTCGAGACTTGGCGGTTTCACATCAAAGTACATGGATATCTGATTTCCATCCGGCTTCAGGCACGTGTGACAGTTCGTCAGAAGTGTTGCAGTTAACCACAGCAAGCCAATAGGACGTCCTCGTACTTTCATCTTTTTGTCGTAAGATACGTACGACCACAAACCTTTAACTAAGTGGAAGCTCCATTCGACGGACTCGCGCACGGAACTCATCGATGAATTGAACACCGTCTCAAATGTTCCCGGCATAGCATTTGCAAACGGGCAGGACAGACACTGACGACATCCATATGCCGGATCGCCGTACAGACAGAACCGCGCCAAGACTGGGTTTGCCTTAAACCGATCCAACAAACAACTCATTGAAAGCATCGTCGAGTCGTGGTGTCGGCCTTCGACGGGCCCGTACATGCCGACGATGATGCCGTCGAGGACGGAAACACCTTGCCAGTTGAGACAATGGCGCCGTAGGTGACCATTGTAAACGACGCGCTGGAGGTTCTCGGGCTCCGATGCCGTGGGTCGTGGAGTCGGATGGCTGATAAACTGCTTGGTACCATCAATGAAGGCAATACATGTCTTCATTCCGCGGAGGCCGCTCTTGGTTTCAATGGCATCAGCATACGAATCTAAAGAGAAACCATGTTAGACGCATACGAACAAGGCAATACATACCTGCATGCAGTGCGGTCAGACACTCATGGAAGTACATCACATCGTGCCACTTTCGATAGATTGCGTTCACCACAGTATTGATGATTCGACTGCAGGCCTCCAACGATCGTCCAAATTCGGATGCGATTGTGTACAAGTGACAAGTCTCTGCCATCCGTCGGCACACGATGGCAACTGCTTCAACCGTGTCGTCCTTGTCGTGCCATGGCGTGACCGTGAACTCTGGCAGTCCCAGTTTTACACATAGAACGGCAAGTTGGTCGATCGAAAATCGAAACTTGGTGCGGGCGGTGGCAGCATCCATATGCCGGTCAAAGTTGTGATTGTAGTTGATTAGGGGGCGCGGCGCTCGCAGGCGCAATACGTTAACTCTAATCAAGACTTCGAGGGTGTCCAAGAACGTATCAAAATCACCATGACATTGCTCTAGCAGTGCAGTTAAGAGAAGCACGACATCGCGGTTCCGAAGCACTGATGGTAACCGCATGACTCGCAAATTGCTGGTTGTGTGAACAATACGTGTCATCCGTATATTATCCGTTCAATCTACCTACCTTACTTTTTCTCCGAAAGGAGCCGAAATGTACCTCAAATTTGAGTATATTCTTGTCCGAAAATGTTGCTTTTCTACTTTTGAGTTAGAGCTCCGAACCTCGAATTCTATCTCAAATCCACTGTCCGAAACTCTCTAATGACTGACTATTTAGAGAAAAGATCGGTATATAGATTCAGTTTATCGGTAAATGACTCCCGATATGATCAGTAAATACAGGTCTTTCAATAACAACTCGGTTATAGAGGGATGCGTGAGCCGCTACGTGTGTCCAATTTCTATTGGCCCCCACCAATTTCTCCGCGCCATTGCAAGTTAACCCGACTTCACACACACATCACAATCGAATTTATCACTACTCCGAGTAGGATGGTTGTCAACGTTAACTCGATGTTTGAGCGCTTTTACGTGCAAAGTGTCTCTGACCAGCTGTACCTGGACGAGAGTCTCGATGACTAAGGCGAAGTCGTCGCCGAGGAGGACGAAACACTGACCTACAGCAATCCGGTGATTGATAAGGTCATAGAGGACAACGGCATTGAGGGGTTCCGTACGCTCACCAACTTCACTCCCGACGAGTTCAAGACGATCTGGAGTGTCGTCGTGTTGGCTCTCCAAGCTCGATGGAACGACAGCAGCGGACGGAAGCCCACGTCCACACCAAAGAATGCATTCTTCATGGTCCTGGTCAATTTAAAGTACTACCAAACCTGGCAGAAGCGTGCACTCGACTTTGACCTCTAACCACCAACTCTCAAGAAGATGATAATACGTGTTATCGAAGTTTCTCTCCAGTTCTCTACACCCATTTTGTCACAATGCGATCAATAGAATCCCTCCGCGATAACAAGACGACCTTTCTGGTAGAGTCCTCATGAACCTGGCTCCGTGTCGGATCTCGCCATGTTCCGCAAGCGGCTCGATGTACACGTGACGAAGCCACCTACAGAGACGGCGGTCAATGTTAACGGTCAGTTGTTCCAAATTACACTAAGATGTGGGCCGTACTGGTTGACAAGGGGTACATTAGTCTCGCGGCAGCCGTTCGCGCTATCCAGCCCAATAAGCGACTGGCGGCCTCGACCGCCATGACCTCGAACGCAATGCTGCGGTATCCGCCGACCGCGTGAACGTCGAAAACTTCTTCAGCCGCGTCTACCTGCTTTGGAGATCTACTACAATACGTTTGTGTGGTGAGAGAAGATGTACGATGGTATTCAACGACTCACCTTCGCATTGATGAACTTCCACGTTGGTCATATGACGCTTCGCGAAGACGACCGCCACCAGTATTGCTTGATCCTTGTGCGCTACGCATGTATGGGAGAGGAGAAGAAGTCCCAGCGTACCACGATCCAGTGTCGCTATGTCCTCCGTCGTGCGGAACGACGCACCACTGTCGACTGTCCATAGACAGTAGTCTAGTTGTTGTTGAACGATGGGACTAGTCGAAGACACACGAAGTGCCTAGCCAGTAGCTGTGAATAATAGTGATCGCGATATAAATGTACCGAGTGAGTCAAAATGAGTGCAAACACTGTGAAGTCTTTTAGTATTTTTGAAAGTATGTTTGGAATTATACTTGAAGTTTTGATGGAGTGTATTACTGTTAGTACCGAAAACGAGACATGTTTTTATTGTTGACGAGATGTCGTTCATCTAGGCAATGATGCCGATTGAATCTCATTTAGTCTAGGTGTAGATAATCTAGGCATTGACGCCGATTTGTTGTCACGATGTGTCGTAAATTTTGGCAAATGTGCCTGTTCATGACTACTGAAATAACGAGTCTGGTCATGTTGACGAGAAGCGTCGCTGCGATTTACGCTACGACTACGACTACGATGGTCGTTTCCTCCGGTATTTTCACCGGGGCCACCTTGGCGAGCGAGGAAACTTCGGCATTGCCGGTCATCTTCGATGAGGTAGAACTCTGGAGTAGCCAAACGATGATAACCATCATCAAAAGAATTGTCGAGCTGATCGCGCGAGTGGCTAAGATTGCCGCGGTGGCAAAACGGACTTTCGTCACGTTGATCGCGTCGGTCCGATGACGCAATGCTTTTTTGGCCGCCTTCGGCGTACTGTACGTTTGGGGAAGTCGAATGGTTTCCCTGTCATTCTTGTCCGATTTACACGAAATTTTGGGATATGGACTGTCTGGGGTGGAAAAGTCCTGATACCAACTTTGAAAGCACATATAGCATATTTGGCTTTGTTACCAGGGATCGAAAACACCTTTTTTCTATCTGGTC